AAGGATTTCTTGTATGACAGCTGAATTCTAAAAAATATATAGAATGCAGTTTGATTTATAAACTGAAAAGGGCTCAAAAACAGTAGAATAAATGAAACAACGACATATTAAGAGGAATATAAAAAAATTTGCTAAACGACGCAATCAAGACACCTCTTTTTCAACCAATTTCAAAAAGGAGGAGACGTTTACAATTCGATGGAATCTTTTTCTTTATATTATGTACACCGATTGCTCAAAGACGCGCCTGAACCGATTTGGAAAATCCTTTTTTGTTTCAATAGGTATACTTTCCAGGTGGTCCCATTTAAATTTTATCGAAATCGGTTGAGCAGTTTTAAAAAAAAATCAACAATAAATTATGTTTATATTGAAGTCGGTTGTACAACTTTTTTTATTTTATTAACTTGTTGTGCTAACGTAGAGCCAGGGCCGGATTAACCTTTAGGCAGAGTAGGCAACTGCCTAGGGGCCCGCGTCGGGTAGGGGACCCCGTGCGCGCACAAATATAATGGAAAATGTTTCATACAGAGAAAATTTTATTGAAAATTTGTAACCTCAGTGACAATAGGTATTATTACGTTTTAGCGACACATACTGTCAGTTGATGAAATACTTCATACTTACAGAACAAAACGATCTAGTATCGAGTAGTAGAACTAATAATATGGATACGTTACATCCCTTTATGCTGGCTGCAAAGGGGCCCCGAGAATTCCATTGCCTAAGGGCCCCGACATGGTTAATCCGACCCTGCGTAGAGCCGTTGCCAAGCGCGTCACCTATGACCTACGCGGTGCCTACACCCTCCATGCCGTTGATGGAGATGGATATTCAAAGCTGAAGGGAGTCCGAGGACTGTCTCCTGTCAGGTGAGGCCGTGTCGGGAATGAGGGTAAAAAAAATAAAAGGAAATCCGAACAAATTAAGGTACAATAGTAATCTCCCACTGTTTTAGCAGTATAAAGTAAAGTTCCCTACTCACATGCCTGCCGCAGAGGCAATCTAGGGTGTGCAGCGATCGGGGCAATATCTGAACTGTCTCTACAGCTCTACACACATGCCTGCCGTTCATTCAGTATGAGAGTTTGAGAGTGTACGTCTCGCTGGACGCACGCGTTGAGAATGGCGCCAGTTGTATCGAAATATCAATGAATCTGTATATATAGCCTTGGCTCTTTTTTATATACAATAAGGGTGACAAATGAGGACAGTCCACCTGATGGTAAATGGACACTGTGGCCCATAGACACCCACATTTATCAATAAAACTAATTAATTAATAATTACAACCATAATATAGTGCTTATAAGCTGCAGCATAGCTTTGCCACGCTGTTTTTAGGCTATCAAATACAATTAAGTGTGACTAACTTCACTCGTCATAATTTAATATAACCAATTTATTCTGTAATATAACTTAACTAACTAGTACTTAGAAACTATAATTTAACAAGTGTTACAAATAGCCAGGATAGTTTTCTAATGATGAGTTTTAATAAATTTAATTACTAAAATTTGTATAATATTTAATTGTTTAGTTAATGACATTTTATTTATATTCCACCAATTCTTATACTATTGAAATACATATTTTCTTTCTCATACTGACCCTTATGATAAGTTAGGTAGATATCTGCTCGGTAATAAATCCCAGTAATGTTACTTGTAAGTTACAACGTTCAAATAACGTTCTTTCTGCGGTGCTACCGCAAAAAAGTCAAAAATGAGATACTGGGTGAAGTAGCCGCTCTTTATACACTTCTATCACCAGTGTTAAAATTTCACATTCTTTATTGTATCCATTGTGACTTGTACTCACGTGTGCTCCGGACGAGTCGCAACGAACTGACTGATTGAAATTAGTAGGTAGTGATGCTGTTGGTTTGCAATCTTTGGTGTTATCATGTAATTGGGTCCTGATAGTAACTTTTAAGAATAATTTCTAACATCAGAAGTAATAGAAGAAGGAATAGTTTCTTACAATACCTATTATGAGTAATTAAAACAGTGAATATAGTAAGCTACACAAGCAGCAGAAGTCGCCTGTAATTCTTTAGAAAATAATAAAGCAAAAATGTGTTTACCAAACTGTCCCAGTGTGGGCAGCCTGATTTTACATCTTCACCAATCCGTAATATGCTGTTCATGCCGAAAACGGGCCTCTCCCATTAAAGGGATGATAGGTGGAGGATTTGGCGCCACACTTCGCAAGTCAATAGGCGTTCGAACTAGATATCTCACACTTTTGAAGTTGCATTCCACCGGCCTGGGTATTTTACATACCAACTGGATACCACACCGGTGAGATAGTTTCACCACCACGCCATCTATTGGAAAGCCATGAAATTTTTATGGAATTTGCACACAAAAATGTAGTAATGTTTTATAGAGACAAACCTCAATAAATAAATAGACAAATCATTCCTTCGCTTTTCTGCAGGCCATATATAGTTCACAGCTAGAAATGGGCCTCTACCAATATAGATAGTAATGTCTATAATAATCAGATACAGATATCTCTTTCCACAAGATGGATACACCGCCATCTATCAGTAACCACAAATTCTTGCTGACAATTCCCAGTCGAATTTTACTACACCTACAAAATTAATAGTATATCTGCCTAACATGCACACCGCAAGTCGGTTTCTTTACTCGTGTGCTGCAAGCAATTATCTTCCTACTAAACAAGGAGCTTACTGGAAGTTATATTAAATAAACAAAAAAAATTGTTCTTTTTACAGGAACGTTTAACATACCATCAACTAAACGTTACTTTTTTTTATAGAATAATATTGACAAACGAGCACACAGTCCACCTGATGGTAAGTGGATGTTACATCTAAATCTATCCTGGATTAAAAATGCAGATGCAATGCCACCCCTGATGGAATGCTTTGTTTCCAGTAAAAAAGGTCTCCGGATTTCAACACTCACTTTACGAAACACAGCAGCATTGAGCTGCATTGGTATTCTGTGAGAGTGTGGACCTTCCCCGGTCGAGTCGTCCCATTCGAGCTACGACCATAATATAGCTGAAGCATGGCTCTACTACGTGAAACTTCGGCGAGTGAAACTTTTTTGTACATTTTACAAGCACGCCGCTGTGACATCATCGGTCTCTGGTCTCATGTTAATATGCAAATAAGCCCTGAGTCGGATGACGTCACGGTTATTCAATAGTCTCCTCATTAGACACCCACGGGCTAATTTAAAGTGATGGATTCCACCACGAGGCACTATATGATACTATACAAAATAAAAGATAAACTTTTTACCCAATATTTACTTTAAAAATATACAAATACAATAATAACTTTTATAAATCACACTATATATATATGTGTATACTTGCTTAATAGTTAATAGATATCTATAACATTTCCTTAATATAGTTAAAGAAAGGCATATAACTTTGGCCATTTAAAATCAACAATCAATACCTTCTACAATAATTTTATATTATTTACTAATTTAACGTGTTTACTACAAAGGAAGTTTCAGAAATAATTCTACATGTTTTCCCTTTGTAACAATTGTTAAAGGGTGATATATTATTAAAACTAGGTAATGTAACAAGGAAATGTTATACTCAAAAACATTTAAAAAATCGTTAAAACCATATTTCACAAATTCTTATTCTAATAATTAAGAAAATGATTTTTTTCTAAGCAAAACTCATTATAATCTATAACATATAAATATAATTTAATATGATGTTACTTGTAGTATATACTTATTTGTGGAAATCAAATCGAAATTTAATGCTAATTTTTGTCTTCTTATATTAGCCTATACCATCAAACATATTTTTCAACTAACCTTATAACATAAAAAATGCAAACTATTTTTGAAGAGTATACATGAAAAATACATAAGTGTACATGGCAACATTTAACTAATTTGGTTTAATAACAATCACAGTTTAAAATTGAAAAAAAATATATGGCAATAAGTAATTTTACAAATAATGTTACAGATTAAGATCATAACATTCTGCTCCTGAAATATTACATTAAAAAAAGGATTATACAGATAGAATTTTATATTAAATAATATGTCAGCTTTATAACATAAGCTATTTTCATATTACCGCACACATTAAAATATTACCAATATGACCATGTAAAGATTTTGCAGATACATAGCTCATTTTATGGTACAAAGTTGAATTGAGAAGAACATAATAATATAATCTATTAGAGCAGATGTAAGAATCAATGAACAATAAGCTCAAATAACATAAATCACATCTGTATGCTGACAAAAAATTGACTGAGAGCTATTTATATTGTAACCTCAATTTAGCAAATTGCAAGTTGTCTGTTTACACATAAGTGTAAATTGCAAATCAAATATTATGATAATTATGAAAGACGAAAAACAATTATTATACCTAGCTAATTGTTTGTAAATGTAATGTAAAATTTATATTTCGAATATTCTTTTGAATATTTTTTGAAAAAAAAATGTCTTAATAAAAAAGTTTCTTAGCTTTCATTCATTAATTAGTTGACTCATTGTAGTATATTTAAAAAAAAGTCAATGTTCTTCATTTCAACATGGAATGATATTATTAAAATTAGAATGTCTGCTTTGATCTAGTCAAGAACAATAGTCTGGTCAGATTAACTTATTATCATCACTACTTAATAGTTAACAGTCGTTTTATTATACTGTTGAGTACTATATAGTATTTTAATTAAAATTCTCGTAAAGCCAAGGCTCTATGAAATAAGCTATGAGGCACTTCGGAAATTACTCATTTCCACTGTTGTTATTTTGTTATCTACCTATTTGTTACAATCACTATACAAATTGTTACAATAGTCATCATGTTTATCAAATCTATTTCAATTAATGTGTTTATTTGATGAATAACCACAGGTGTAGAAAAATATTCATTTAGAGACTACTTTACTTAACCTTGTATAATAGAATTGATTTCTTCTTAAGCCATTATCAATGCCAAGGCATTAAATACAATTTCAACTGGAATTAGCCAAATAATGCCCCACAATTTGAGCATCTTCTATTTTTCATTGCCAGACAGCACAAAATTCCAATAGGGAAGAAAAGTATAGCACAGAGTATACCTAGACATGTGAAGTCATCTTCGAGGATTCCTATGCGGCATGCTGGACAAGCCCCGACAGTTATTATGGGTGGTGGAATAATAATATTGGTGGCACCATAATTAGGAACATAAGCTGTTGTAGGTGGCGCATTAGGAGCGTAAGGTGTTGTGGATGGTGCATTAGGAGGGTAAGGTGTGTAGCCTGGTGGGGGAGGAGGATATGCTCCACCCTGAACGCCCGTAGTCTGTGGTGGTGGTTGCGGTGTGGGCCCTGGAACATTACAAATATTTATTAAATAAATAATTTGTTATTATAAAGCAAGTTGTGACTTTATCCAATTTAGTTTTTGCATCCTATTGATCTCAGAAGAATAGCAGAAGAACCGATTATCTTTAGTTTTTTAGTGGCATCAAAGGGTATTTGAGTGTTGATTTATCATAAAAAAATATTAAACAAAGGCAAAAGTATCTATTTTACAAAATCCCAGAAAATGTTCAATGTTTCTCTATAAAAAAGTTTAAGTTTTATTAAAGAAAAATTGTACAAAAATTATTATTATAATATCAAGAAATACATGAATGAAAATAATCCCTGGAAATGAGGTGACCACCACTATTGTGATTCTATTAAAATTAATTTAAAGATTGTACAAACAAAATGATTGTAAAGCGAAATATGTTTAAAAAATCCTGCTGGGTTTCTTGCTGGTTCTTCCCAGGAAAGAGGGATTTACCATACTAGTGGTAAATATAAAAATGACGTATAATAATAAGTATTATGTAATAACCTATATTGAATAAAAATCATCCTATTCCATTCTATTTTATCTTATTAGTCTTCGGATAAAAATTTACGTGGTAGAGGCATGCTGCAGCTATATTATAGCTTGAATGGGTTGGCTCCACTGGGGAAGGACCACACTTATAGCAGGTTAATGCTGCTGTGTTTCGTATGGTGAGTGCAGAGAACCGGAGACCTTTTTTATTGGAAATAAGGCATTCCATCATAGTCCTCCGGGGTGACAATGCATTTGCATTTTAATTTTTAATCGAAGATAAATGTAGATGTCTATGGGCCATTTACCATCAAGTGGACTGTGTGTTCGTTTGTCACCCCATTTTTGTAAAAAAAATCATTTAATACATTATCAATACTGTATTTCAATCTGATGTTTATGTTTTTTTTTTGCCTTAATGTAAATAATCACTATAGTTCTCTTTTAGAATTTAATGTTTTACAATATTGGTACCCACTATTTTTGAGCAAAGTTTAAAAGTTTTTTGGTTATAGAATAAGTGTACACACAGTTCAGCTGATTATAAGTAGATGCTGTAGCCCATAAACACATACATCTATTCTCAATTAAGAATGAAAATGCAGATGCATTGTCACCCTTGAGGACTATGGAATGCCCTTTTTCCGGTAAAAAAAACTCGGGTTCTCTACACTCACCATATGACACACAGCTGAAATCTAGATCCATATATAGTATAATTAAACTACTCGGTGTTATTTAAACAAAAAATAAGACCTTATTTATTTATCACTGCATCACTGAATGTGCAAATATTTTCAGAAAGTTAATATTATCAAGGGCCATAAACTTAGTCGTAGGAAACCGTTTTGCTTGATACTTTAAATTAATATAATTTTATTTGAAAACATATTTATATTCATTAAGAATATTGCCCAATGTTTTAATGTTAGTTTCCAAAAAAGGATACCTGTGGATTATGGCTGTATTTGGTGTGTTTTAAAAATCACATAAATTATGGTTGGGACAGGTCCGCTACCACTTTCAAAAATAACAAATTTAAATTATTAAGCCTACAGAACTATACAAATTCTAAACAAAGCAAAATAAGTAAAATAATAAGTGTATACTTCAATTTTATTAAAGAATGATTGTTATGTTTATAGCAATCTGAAAGCCAATGTTAATTGAAAATATAAAAACACAAAATTATGGCCCGAACAAATCATCAGCCATTGTGATAAGCACATTAATTAATTTTATGAAACTATAAACACAAGGAATTGTGCATATCCACATAAAAAACCAATTCAGCTGCGCAGTACTAATAAAGTGTCTTATCTGTAAAAACTGAATGTTGTGATTCATAATAATATGCATTATGTTCGAGAATGGTGAAATAGTTTATTTGCAAACTTACCAGGTTGCATGGTCGCTGAATACGGTGGTGGTTGATCCGTGACTGTAACATTTGGTTTCTCCATGATAACTCCAAAAAGGCTGAATTAGTTTGACTAAAGCACTTTTGTTAAACAACTCAGTGGAAACAAAACTTTCCCTTTCAACTTTTCCGATTTCTGTAGAAAACTATAGAAAACAAATCTTCTGCCAATCTGTCATCAACTGTCAAAGTTTTTTTTTTAATAAACTATGTATTGGCTACAGGCATCAGGCTGTTGGCTCATAAATCAAGAAACGTCAGTTTATAATAAATGTATAGATCAAATTCAAATTCACACTCAAAAATATTTATTCTAAGTGTTACATACATTTGGTGTTAATATAAAATATGAACTATTTATCTTACAATATAAATATAAAGCATGGACTTAGTGTACACGCACCTAGTTGCCCAGACTAAGGTCGAACATACCGGGGCCCATACAGCTGTTAGATTCGACGAACAACTAAGTGTGGGGCTCAATTGCCTATGGATATTTAATATATATGGACTAAGTACTTAATGAGACTTACTTACTTGGTTAGAAGCGGAGACTGGTCCCAAGGCTCGGTCAGGCGATAGGTGTAGTGCATGTAAGTGGTGTTTGTGAGTGTGTAAAAATGTGGGGCCTGACTTAACCACTTTAGTCGGCAGCAACCCTGACTCCGACACCGCCCTACGGTGTGGTATTCTCCAGCGGCGGCACCAATGGACAATTTCTTTCTTCAATTAACTATGTCAGTCTATCAACTTTATTGTACATTTAACTAACTTCAAAACGCAACTAAATCCCGTTAATTATAATCAAAACGTAACACACGGCACGAATAACGAACGGACTGATCAAAGGTCACTTCCGTTTCTCGTGGCAACAAGATTACAACCAAGAACAAAAACGCGATCCCTTCTCTAGTCACAACTTTCAGAGTTCATTAGCACAAATCTATAATCTAATACGAACACTGTTTCTCGCGGGTCACAATCTTAGCTTTTTAACCGACACCGGAAAATATCTCCGAGTTATATCCAATGCCACAATCAACTACTCGACGCAAGGTATTATTGTCAAGCACTTCAACTGGCAATCACTATACAATTTACTTAAATTACTTTCCAACGAATTTAGGTTAATCAATCAAATTATTACTGCTTCGTCGTCGCGTGAACGCACTAGGATAACCAAACTGCGTCTATTTTTCTAGACTCAACAAAACTTCGTCGTTGCAGAAATTTGCTAACAAAACCGACACTAAAAAGGGAGGTTACACCGGACGACCACGTCGTGCTAGACCGCACTGCCTTTTTTTTGACTTCCGCCGCGCCACGCCGTTCAACGGAGATTTCAGACTGACTCGTGGCGCGAGACGCCTCGGCCAATCGTCCCGTTAATTGACACATCAGGTGTGGCGGGGGAACGCGCGCGGGGAGGAGAGGCCCGACAGCAATCCCTGTTGCCATCGGACGCTAGCGCTCGTAATACAGTTTTAAAAATTTAGCATTTGGCGCAAACACTTAGAATATATACCATAGACCTATAATAGAGTAGCAGACCACACATTAATCCATAGTTATATCTATAGAGATAGGCGTTACGGACGGCGAGGGGAGCCTCCGCCCCGTCACCCCTTCATACCCCGTTGCGCCCCGCGCACCCCGCACACCGCCCGAATATCACGTGATGCCGCCGACCAATCAGTGCGCGGCACACCTTACAATACCCCGCACGCGCCGAGACACCTTTTGAGAATATAAGAAGGGCGTTTTGGGCTGTACGTCGTTCATTTCGGCAGCGGCACTACCAGGGTGTTACAAGTCTGTATGAAACCCGAGAAACTTGCACACAATCATAATTTTATCTATGTGTGGATTGGGCATGTAAAATTAAAGCGAGAAAAAGATATCGCTATTTCTTTCTTTCGCGTTGTTTCAGATTTCCATTTTAAAAAAGAGATACAAATATATATATTATATCGGAAAAAACTGAAAATGTTAATTCTGTGTTAAACTTTTTTATTGGTTGCTTATTAGAGTATAATGACGTACATATTACTCTGAGCTTTGCGCAATTAATTCACCTATTAATTGATTAAAATCGAATTATTGAATATAAGACTTAAAAGAAGAAAAAATATGACATTTGTTTGTCAACGTCTTTCATATTGAAGATATTTTCTGAAATTTATTAAAATTTAGTACATAGGTTTAGTTTTTAATATTTATGATTGATTTTTGCTTAAATTCAGTTATTATGGGCTTCATTTTCGTATGTAGGTGAATAAACAGTCATAATATCGTCGTGAATATACAGTAAATATTTTTTGTGGGATGTTACTCAGTATAAGATATTGAATATAAATAAATTATTATTTCAAAGTTTTACACGATTTGTGATCATCATCGAAAGTTAGTTAAGTGTTGTGCAAATAAAAAGCACAAAATCATCTGATCACTGTCTGCAGGTTTCCTATGATAGGAAAAGAAAAACTTATAACAATATTGTGGTAAGTCTATAAACATTTTGAATTTATTGGCCGTTATTTGTAGGGATTATTACTATATTGACTCGAATTGTATCTGTTTCAGATCACGTATTTGGGCTGAGTTAAGTTTTCATCATGAGAATTTTGCTGATTTAAATTTACGTTAATGTTATGTGAAGAATAACTCTCTGACAATATATCAGTAACAAGCGTGGAAATATTATGTACAAAAGCAATAAAAGACATCAATAATAATGTATAGTTTATAAAACAATCTGTCTTCCAGAAAATAAAATTACATAACTATACTTATTTATAGTTTTATTTTATCCCACATACTAATCTAAAGTATATTCGAGTAATTTTAGTGCAACCTCTCAAATACGAGTATATGGGAATTTACCCCATAGGTTTGTGAGACTTGAGCCAAAATTACTCGAATATGCCTTATATAAAAAGTTTTAAGTTACAGAAAACAAAGGTTTGAAATTCCCGCTAAAAAAGTTTTATATGGGCGACCACTGTAGCGCTTTTAGTGTACACTCATAAACACGTGTTTCCGTTTTTTAGTATGAAGTTGGCGTTCTTCTCTTGTTAGAAAGTAATTGTGTTCTGTGGGCACTACGAGATACAACATCAAGAAAGAAGACCTCAAGAGAGAAAACCTCAAGTGAGAAAATACTATAAAAGACTCCCATCTGTACATAATTGATTAAAGCCGCTTGTAAATAGTGCATTACAGGGTATTTTTGAAACGCTCCCGAAAACGAAGGCAGACGACAGTACCAACTATACCTTTGATGATACGTGAAATATAAAATCGATTCTGATTAAAAAAAAACATCTTTTCACAACGTTTTATTAGATTTATTCATGCTCCATTATGTTAGTACAGCTAAATGAAACGATAACTCCATAAAAAAAATCATGAAAATACTGATACATAAAACCAGCAGTGAAATTAATGAATTGCAATCAGCTGACTAGAGGTCAATGTACGCGCGAACGCCGAACTTATAGGTCCCATCACCACCGTGACGTGACGGGACCTAACCCGTGACCGACCACCGTGACGGGTAAAAAGAACGCTGGCCTTGAACCTAGGCACTGAGCTATTTATCACTGAGTGGTACGAAGGGGGCACGACGGGGTAACAATCCGCCAGTATTACTGTGCCCGCATGCTATTGGGTCATTCTTCCCGCGCTTTGTACGCTCCCAAAATACAGTCGCATACACAGCTTACTTTGCGACTCGCGACGATGGTTTTAAAAAGGAAGGAAAGAAAAATTATTTATATCTATTGTTTTATGACTCAACTAGTGAAAGAAAAGGTAAATATGATAGGAGAAGGTGAATGGGGAAAATTGTGCAGTAAAGTTAAAAGTGTTGAAGAAGAATACCGAAAAAATTACCATGTGATCGACCTGATGCCGGAAGCTCAAGCGAAGATGAAAGTGATGATGAAGTAGCATCCAGTAACACCAACACACCATCGACATGTGACCCAAGACGACATAATGGACGGCGTGTCACCCTTAGCTTAAGTTTTCTTGTTACAAACTACTTTATATTTTACGATAGAAATAATAAATTATACTCAAGTAAACATTATCCATTTTTAATTCCAACCTCTTCCAAAGTTCTAAGTAGCTAGTAAAACACCTATTATGATTCTACAATAAAACAATTAATTACTATAATATTATAAAACAATAGCGTAATACTATGTAGTACTTTAGAACGCGACTGTACCCACACTCCCTCCACTGTCGACCTGTATCTAGCTCGGTGCGAAACAATGCCTAACCCGGCTGGTGTCGCCTCACGCTGTGGACGCAGTAGGTTTAAATTTTGGCGGGGTTCATTATTAATTTTAGTTTTTGAGACAGTTCCGTGTTGGTTTTGTACATGCGTGCGTGAGCGACAGTTCAATCATTTTGTTTATTAAATTCTTATTGTTATTATTTGTTTTAACTTAATTCTTTCTTTTAATGTCTTTTAATTTTTTCGCAGGTTGAATCGCATTTTCCTTTTTTTTTTAATAAAACTTCAGAATGTATCGAATTTCTTCGTTAGATTCACACATTTTGGCGGACAGAAAAACAATTGAAATATGGCGGAAAAGTGTTTTTTTCTACTTTATATTTTTCTTTTTCTTAATGTCTCATATGTATCGATATTAAAACCAGCCAGATATAAACAGTACAACCAAAGAGATTTTTCATAAATTTTATAAAAACAACTTTTATACAAGATACTTTTCCCCCGACTTATTATTAAATAGCACAAAGAAGTTGGCTTGGAAGTATAACCGATCAGATTAATGAATAGGTGCTCATAATTGCTCACTAAATGCTCAATGCAAATCTGCAATTGCTCACATTATTAATTTATTATTTAATTAGTTATTAATAATTTAAAATACAAAATTGTTTTTGCGTATTATACTTAAATAATAATAATCTACGTTTCGGTGACCTCTTTGGGGAAACCGAGGGTTTTGTCTGTGCAATACAGGATCAGGTTATTAAGACCAACAATTATCGGAGATACATCCTAAA